TGGTTTATCAAATTTAAGTATTTAATTATTTAAGGATTATCTTTTAGTTTCTTTTCAGCTTTAAACTTTCATTTCTTAATTCATTTTGTATTCTATGTTCGCTATAAAATATTAATTGTTTGATACTCCCTCGGGTTTGGGCCTGGGCCTGATCAACCCGTGTCTCGGATCCGAGGGGTATCATAACTATTGAAGCTATCAGTATGATTGATCAGACAACGCGGTCTATTATTCCTTGCATCATAGGTGTTGCTGCTTCTTGAGATCCTAATTGGCATGGTTCTGCATCACAAGAAGAAATTGTGAGGAATAACCATTCTAGAACAATCATTTGCTTTGGTTCATTCTTTGACTGCTCTACAGTGTATAATGTTACTCTAGAATTAAACTAAACAATATGAAAATATTCACAAAATACCCCAGTGTTATTTTTTCATATCCTATAGAGTAATATTACATTAATTATTATTTTTAATTAAATTATTTTTTAATTTTTAATTTTTAAAAATTTTTAATTAAATTTTGTAAAATTTGTTAATTATTTTTTTATTTTTATATATTTTTAATTTTTTTTTATTGAAATTTTTATTTTTTTAATTTTATTTATTTATTTTTAATATTTTAAAACTGTTTTAATTTAAATTTATTTATTTTTAAAATTTTTAATTTTTAAAAATTGATTTATTTATTTAAAAAATATTAATTTTTTTATTCAAAATTATTATTTAATTTTTTTAGAAAAAATTTCTAGAAAAAGAAACTTAGAAAGAGAGAGAATTGATGAGAGACAAATTTAGAGAGAGTGGATTGTGAGTAAGAAAATTTTAGAGAGAGAAATGAGGTGGATGCAATATAGAATAGATGTGTGTTGTGTGTTTATTTTAGAGAGAGAGGATTGCGAGTGAGAGAATTTTAGAGAGATAAATGAGTTGAGTGCAATATAGAATATATGTGTGTTGTGTGTTTATTATGTGATAGATGAAATATGGGTTGAATATGATTCTTGATCCTCAAATTAGGTGGTTAAAAATTACCCAACCCATTTTGACCCTCAAATTAAATATGGTTCACTCATAACCATTAAAAAACAGGCGGATATGGGCGGATTGATGGTTTCTAACCCATTTTGCCACTCCTACAAATTTTGAACCATCCAAAGTATACTTTACAAAGAGTAAAATAAAAATAAAAACTAAAGAAAAAAGAAGAATGATACTTCTGAAAAAGAAAAAGAAAAACAATAATGACTCAAAATAATAATAAATTAAGAATGAACCAAAAATAATAAAATTAAAAAATAAAGAAAAAAAAATCAACCACTTCTAAACATCAATTAGAAAGATAAAATAAAAATAAAACAAATCAACTACTTCTAAACATAAACATCCATTAGAAAGAGAAAAAAAAAAAATAATAACATATAATAATAATGCTTATAAAAAGAAAAAGTAAAGGAAAAACTTACAAGACCAATTATAAAGAGAAAAGAAAAAATACGCACACCACAAGCCTGAACTAATATATATATATATATATATAGAGAGAGAGAGAGAGGGGTTATATGTGATAGAATTTTATAGAAAATAAAATAGGTAACTGAAATTTTATTAGGATAGAAAATAAAATAGGTAATTGAAATTTTATTAGGTAATTTATGTTAGAATTTTATAGAAATTATTTTTAATTATATGTGATAGAATTTTATAGAAAATAAAATAGGTAACTGAAATTTTATTAGGATAGAAAATAAAATAGGTAACTGAAATTTTATTAGGTAATTTATGTTAGAATTTTATAGACATTATTTTTATAAAAAATATTTTTATATTAATTAATAAATATATATTTATATTAATAAATAAATACTGAACTACTGAAACACATTTCACATTTAATAAAAGTATAAATATAAGGTTTGAATTCTTTCAACCATGACCCAATGGCTGTCCAATGAGGGGGAAGAGGGAGGAGGAAAAGAGTTAGTGTTGTTCTAGGTGGCAAAGGGGTTTCGTGGCACGTGAAGTCGGTGGATTTGCTAAGTTCATATGTTGGAATTAGAAGTCAAAATATGGTGCTTCTTTTGCAAAGCAAACAAATTTATTCAAATGGGATTCCTTAATCAATGGAATAATCAAAGGTATGACCAAGATATTCAAGTTCAAACAATCATAATTTTTTTTAGATGTACCCATTGCTACAACACATAATTTATGGTCAAAAGTTGATGAAAAGTCTCGCAATTGTGGTGCACCACATCATGCAAGGTCATGTTTGGATATATATTGAACTTTTTTCCAAACTGTTCAAATCTGAGGGAGTAAAAGTCATAATGTGATTATTTTACCACAAGAAGATTATCTCATGTTGATATGATTGGAGAAGTGGAATATGAGAAATTAATGATTTGCTAAAAGCATTAATAAACTAAAAATATGGAATGATGAGTATTGTAAGATCTGGCTGGATATGGGGGATCATATATCACTTATACCTGCAATCTCGGAGCCAAATTATTCTTTAAAGGATACAAAGTTTCTTAACATTCATGCGAAAAAATGTTGGAATAAGGTTACTACTAGAAAAATGAAAATTATAAAACTGTATAAAAACTCGGAGGCCATATTAGCACTCTACTTTTGTATAGAATTTCACACCACTTTTCTTTTTTCTTTAAAGGAAAAAAGAAAAAAATCACTATAAACTTATAAACTTTTTCTCATTAATGCATCCTCTCTCATTTTATAATACCATATCTATCATTTTCACTATAAATTTTTTCTTTTCTTACCTTTTTTACTTTCTCTACTATTTTTTTCTTCAAGCAAAAAAAAAAAAAAAAAAAAAAAAAAAAAAATTATTCAAGGGAAATTATGAGTTCGATTACATGATATTTACTAAATATTGCAACTTTTTCTCTAAATTTACAACCGTTCCTTGTAGATATTTTAAGATGAATCATTACATATCATAGTGGTATATAATATCATCTGTTTATTATTTTATTTTATTTTTGTTTTTTTTCAGAAAATCCCTAGTCTTATAATTTTATTATCAAAAAAGTTAGGACTTTAATTATCAATAAAGTAAATTTAAATATTCAAATTAATTCTTAAAAATCACATATGTAAAAAAATAAAGTTAAACTCAAAGTATAAAATAGAAAAGAATTTTTTAAAAGAAATTACTATTCCCATCACCATCCAAATTAATTTATAAAAATCACATCATGAGAAAAAAAAAAAAAAATCCAAACGTAGTCTCAAAGCATAAATATTTCATTGCTACTTACAAAGATCAAATATCAAACCCTAATGAAATCGAGAGAGAAGAAAAAATTTATACAAAATAGAGAAAGAGCTAAAAGATGTAGGAAGCAAAAGAAAAAAAAAAACGGAGGTTAACCAAAAAAAAAAAAAAAAAAACCACAGCATATCAAAAACGTTAATTGAGATAGATGGAGAACAAAAAAATGTTACAATAACTGAAATGAGTAGTTGTAGAGGTAAGAAGCAAACATATCTTACTATAATTAAAATGAGTAGTTGTAGTACTTTTAAAATAATAGTTATTAAAATTTAAAATTAGAATTGTCATTTCTTTTACAAATGTATAAAATTGGGGTGAACTCAATTTTAAAAAGACTTATTTTTAAATAATCGCATTTTATAATTTTTTAAAAATAATTTATTTATTTATTTATTTTTTTTAAGTCCTGGACAATTATTTTGCAAGAGACAAATTGGCTGTCCCAAAGTCAAAGACAGGATCCAAAATCACTTAAGTGGACTTGTTACTTTTTGATCATCTATGATAACACATAGTCCTAAAAGAAGACTAGCATTAAGATGAATAGATGATACTAATAATATCCCTACTTTTGTTGAATCATCATGCTAGTGATTGTCGATGTTGATCTTCTCTCAACCAACAGGCATAGATCCCGCTAATTGAATGAAATTATTATCAATGGTCGGGTATGGTTTTTTAGTTGGGATTCACACATATTGTGTTTATTAAAGTTCAAATTTTTAACTTTTTTGAAAAATATAAGAGTCTTATACAATCAAGTCACAAGTCTGTTGAAAAATGACGGGTTATTATTATATTTTCATTTGACTTAAATACTCCCCATCATCGTTAAAATACTTTGCTTTTTTATACCACCATTTTAGTCTTTGCTACCACGGAGTAAAAGTATTTTGTAGTGATTCAATTTTAGTGACAATACTACTTAGTAGTAGTAAATTGCTTATCATTGCACGAATCCAGCGTACGTGGGCCTGATCAGAACTGGACTAGTTTCAAACGGCACGCATCGTTTTTTTCTGGACTTTCTTGGCTGCACTTTCAAGTGACTACGATTTGTTTGGTTCAACAATGTACAGGTTTGGGCAAAGTTCGCTTTGTCTATTCATCCATCACAATATTCTTTTGAATTGCTTGTCAGCTTTTACATAACAAGTCACCTGGGGTCGGAAAACACTACCACTTACATGTGAGGTTTGTCACTAATTAATTAAAATTTAGCACATAACATGAAGTCCACTCAAATAGATACAATTAATTTTATTTTTTTTTTCTTTTTTTTTTTTTTTTCAGTTGACACTAGCACATTCACTTTGTTTCAATTATTTAAATGATATGGTTGTTATCATATTTAATTTCACTTTGTCACACTTGTTAATTTTGACATTATATGGCCGGCAACTAAATTTGGCATTTTGAACCATGAGCAGCAGCTTTTTATTAGACAATCAATGAATATTAGTTCAGATGGTATGATCTTTATTTCCCGTCGGAGAGGTTGAGTGTTTGAATTCTCTGGGGAAAATATTATGAGCGTGAGAGTTTGCTTAAAAAATTAAAATAAAAGGACACATGTTCCTTCAGGTTCAGCAACTATGGGCTAATTGATTTTGAAAGTGGTTTTTAAATGGGCCTTGGCCCGTTAATTAAATAGTCTATAGGTTGGGCTTCATGTGTATTGAGAATTAACGAACCATTGGCCCTTATGTTAATAGGGCTCTGTTATGAATCTCGAGAGCGAAAACGCGAAAATGGAACCTGAACCGAAGAAGAGGAAGACTTATCGTGCACCGCCTCGCAGGTAATCCGTCTCCAGAAAGCTTCAATCTCTGCTAAAACTCGTTTTTTCTTTGAATTAACTTGTAATCGTAACTTTAGTCAATAATCTTCTTGTTAATTGGTAATACCGAGTAAGATTCATATGATTTGGTTTTCAAATTCTGTATTGAAGCAAAACGACTTGATTTCTTATGAATTCTGAATTCTGAATTCTGATCTCTTAGTTTAAAATTTTCATGTTCATTATGCACATATATATTAGATTTTACTTGTACAGGTGAATGCAAATTTATATATATATATATATATACACACGGGTGTGTTTTGTTGTTGTTGTTGATTGAGTTGAGGACCACTTTTCTTCTTCTTTTTTTATTTTTTATTATTTTTATTATTTATTGTTTGATATGGTTCTAGAATAGGCATGAGCTAGTGGCTATGAAGAGAAGAGCATATTGGACTCTCATCTATATCAATTGAATGATTTAATGTTAAAAGAGGTCGCTGGTCAGAGGAAACCCATGGTGGGTTGGGTAAAGGGGTTTCTTCATATGATCTTGTAGGGATTAGTTTTTTTTTATGCCATTAGCAAAATGTATTGGGTAATGACCAATTTCATTAGAGGATGTTTCTTCTTAGTTCTCACTATTGCATTAAATTATTTATTTTTTATTTTTTTTTATCAACAACTTCTGTGTTTTAGCTGACAAGATGAATATAAGGAACACAAATAAGACGAGATAATATAGATAGTCAAATATGATATTCTGGAATGAAATTTATTGCATTTGTAATCATGGAATCTAAATCACAAATTAATGAGGCAGTGGTAAAAATGCTCAAACTGTCAAGCATGAAACGTGGTTCGAATCATGAGAGTAGCCACTTCTGCCCCTCCCAGCACCCTGGATTGACGGATACTACACTGGGTAATGTGACCCTTTTATTGGAAAATATTTTGCTATGCATTTGTTTTCATGCTTTCAAATAGATATTGTGTCCAAGAATATTTTGCTGAAGCTTATTTTTCATTTCATTTCATTTTTTTAATTTTAATTTCTTATTTCTCCCCTGCACGTAGTAAGTTCGTTTATTTAAGATTTTGAAGCTATGGTTATTGTTTTGATTAGCAACTTTTTTTTCCCTCAATAAAGGAGACCCTAATCTTCCTTTCTGTTAGTGGTGTATCTGAAACTGTTTACTCTCGAATTACATATCTTTCTGCATAAAGGATTATGTTGTTTGAAGCATGAGTGAACCTTGTTGTAACACATATTTAACTTAATGCAGCAATGGAACCACACTAAGCAAAAGAGTTCTCTTAAAAGGAATGAATCTGTATCTATCATGTCTAAGTAAACGTATCAAACTTAAGCTACAAACATATATTATTCATGCAAGATATCACTTTCTTGAAAGTGATTATGCTTTGAGCTTCACCTCCCATTGAATGCAACTCAGTGCAAGTATATAAATTTTTTCATTGCAGGATTGCCTCTTCACCTACCAAAAAGAAAGACACGGTTACAATATCAAAGAGAAACACAGCTACAACATCAATGAATAGTTCAACGGTATGCATTTTCTGCTCAGCTCTGTCAATGTAGTTTGTGTGTGTATGTGTGTGTGTATAGCATCTCCTAATATGTGACTGGAATACACAGGTTCATGTGGCTCAAAATAGCGCTGTCTATCTTGGCATTCAACAGGCTAAGAACTCTGCAGTAGCACAGGCGCGGCAAGATGGTTGCACAGGAAATTTCAGGATTTTTGATTCTCCATTTGGGAATTATCTTCTACCTGTAGTACCAACTCGTGCAGAACTTGGTGGGTAGTTTTATGCTCTACTGGTTTCTAATACCATGATTTTGTACTTAAGAAATTAGAACATCCATATCCTCAATGAAAGATCTAAAATATTAGGCAAAAAAAAGAAGATGGTAGTTTGATGACTTCAACCATTTACATAGGCTTAGAGCGTTCTATTCTGAGTGATCCTTGTGATACTGATAGAATATATGATTGGCGATCATTCATGAGCAGGTTGAACTGGTAGTATATATGTAAATGATCTCAATTGAAATGTGTACACCGCGAAGCATGGATCTGAATGATAGTAATTTTCACATCCAGTGAAGACAGATGATACAATATGGGTATTTGTTTCTGTTTAATACATATATATGTATCTATGTACACATGAAGATATGTAAATTGGTGGGGAATGGTTGTGACTTTTGTGATTGATCACTTGGCATTTGGCACCCCACGTTGAACGCCATTCAAATGTACTTCAAAAAATATCCCATGTATATGTACTTTTTTCTCTCTCTTTTGTTTTTATGTTTCTGGTCTTGTGCTTTTGGCTTCAAAAAATAATTTGATGAATACTGGTAGATTGGTGTCGTGTGAGTGGTGGTGAGGAGTTTATGGTTTTGGGTTGTGGATAAAGATCCATAGACAAGTCTCACTTGTAACATTTTATCCCGTTGGAACTCGGACAATGCCCTCCTCCACTGGAACTCGGGTAACGTTCTCGTTGTGGTCGGACCACTCTGCCTATCCAGAGTAAGACCGGGACGCCCTCCGGGCCAGACGATTGATGTGACACCGGATTAAGGATTGGGTCTGATTCTGATATCAACTGTAATGAGTGAAAGTTTGCCTATTTACTCAAATTCAATGCGGGATAAATTTTACTTGTAACAGAAGATAATCACATTAGCTCTCGATTTAGTGTAATGGTTTCATAATAAATAAATAATAATGAAAATTGTGACTTATGAGCATCTTCGTAGTAAGTCCCAAGACATATAGAACAAATCCACACTTTAAGGACCGTCCAAAAAATTTATTAGTTTAAATACCTATCCAGACTTTTGATTAAGGAACGTCCAAAAAAATTTATAGTTTAAATACAGATCCAGACTTTTGATTTCTACATTCATTTTTTGTCCTATTTAGATGAAAAAAAAAAAGGGAGTACTACACAAGAAAAAAATTAAAAATAAAAGAAAAATCTTCTTTTGCCAAAACATTTAACCAAAAAGAAAGAGTCCCCCCCCCCCCCCCCCCACCCCAAAAACTGCACCATGGGACCGATAAAAATATTAGTGCTGCACCGGCGGACCAGTCACAAGTTAGTTGAGCTCAGTGGTAGGCCCCGCTCACATATTCGCCCTCCTTTTAACTCTGTCCTTTCTCACTACCATGGAGTAGAAATTTCTGAGAGAGAGAGAGAGAGAGAGAGCAGTAGTGCTTTTTAGAAAAATAGAGTTTTGTTTGTGTATTTCATCGATCTCTGTTCGGTGACCGCAGCGGTGGTGTGCGCAGTGGCGGCGCTGCTGGTGCGGCAGGCGGTGGGCTAAGACGATGGCTATACTAAAGGAATTAGAGGAAAAATGTGGAACCCCTATTGGGAAGCTCATACAGGTTGCCGACGCCATGACCGTCGAGATGCACTCGGGCCTCGCCTCCGAAGGTGGTAGCAAGCTCAAGATGATCATTAGCTACGTCGACAACCTCCCCACCGGGTATATATACACACACATACACAGTGTCTAGAAATATATATTACTATATAGTGTTTTAATGGTTTGTCCAATTTTGATAAGAAGTTTTGTACTTTGACTTGAAATTCGGTATTAACTTTACATCTATGGTCCATACATTATTGTATTTTGATGCTTCATTTGTTGATATTTTCTGAACAAACAATGATTTTGCTGTTCATACTCGGGAATTTAAAATCTTGGAAAATTTGCTTTGAAGAATTGGTGATTTTATTTATTTATTTTTATTTTTGGGGAGGGGGTTTAATGAACTCTATATTGTAGCAAATTATTTTTAGTGTGCAATTAACTCTTAATGAATGCCAGGTTGAATTTTACTAGTTTTTTCTTTCTTCTAATTTTATTAATTTTCAAGCTATCTATGATTCCTGATTAGTGAAGGTGAGACTTGAACTGAATTAGTGATTGTTTTGAGATTTGTCTCAAATAAAACAAGCATAGTTTAATGTTCTCTTGATGACTTCAAAGCACATTTCTGATTTGAATCAGGATTTTAACTTTGATTGATTGAGTTGGTGAGTTTCAGTTTGATAAAAAAATGTAGGACTCTTATGCTGAGAAAAGCTAACTCGGTTGGTTGTTTGTTTACCGCTAGTTTTCCTTCAAACTTTATGCTTTTTGGTTCTTCCTTTGAGTGCTAATCTGGCATATACATAGTGTGTGTTGCTTATTCTTTCTTTTTGATTTCTTTAGTGATCTATATTCCTTTATCATTTGGAATATAGCTTACCATCTAATACCCATTGCTTTTCACCTTTTTAGCTCAGGCTTGGTCCTTGATTCTTGGTTACTGTCTTTTTGGGATTTTTGTTCAGCTCAAACAAGAAAAATCTCTCCGCTGTAAATATTATATATATAGTATATATTTTGTCTATCTAGTTGAAATGATTTTATTTAAGAAAGTTATGGGTTTTGAGAGAATGATGAAATGGAACGTCACTTCACACTTTGACAGATAAGCAAACTGATTTTGTCTCATATATGAATCCCATAGTTCATAAAGTTTCTTTTTAGTTTCCATGTCCGAATATGCATTCTTCATGGACTCATCTATTTTGTAATTAGTGGTTGGTTGTGTTTGAAATGATTGAGACAGGAATATCAGTGGTTATTTATGTAAGTGCCTTTACGTTCTTTTCTCACTTGGATATGGGCCATATGGAAATAATATGTATGTTCATTGATGGCAGTTAAAAAGGCAATTAGTAAGACCAAGGAGATCAAATAATGTTTGGGGAAAAAGTCATGTAATGATAATTAGTTATCAACAGCTGAATTGCTTTGATTGTCAATTATTGATTGTTGTTCTTCTTTTCATTGATATTTTGGAAATAGTAAGTACTTTGTTGGCCTAGTAATTATAAGTATACAATATTAAATAAAATCCTGTTTTTTAACCAAATTGGGCAATGTGCTTCTGTTTGCCAAGGAAGTCAAGGTGACTGTGTACTCCGAGAGGCTTCTCATTAACCATATAATTGCCTTTTCTGGGGCTGATTTACCTAAAATGAAAATTTAATACTTCTTAAGCCATAGAGTTTCTAGATCCCTAGTTCCTGACAAGAAGATTTAGATAAACATGCATGTGACTTTTGCTTTTTACTTGTAGGGATGAGGAAGGATTGTTTTATTGGCACAAACTTCCGTGTCCTGCATGTACAGTTGGGAGGGAAAGATAAACGTGTTGTTAAACAAGAACTTGAGAAAGTTTCAATTCCCCCACATTTGATGGTTGGAACTTCAAGTGTGAGTATTGTAATGTTTATATATATATATATATATATATATATTAAAGTTAAAAGTTTTTTTTCAAAAGTTGGTGGGCTCCATTAATAAATTAAAACATAACAAAGGCGATAAGGCCATTTCGCAGATCATTAGCCTCTCTCTCTCTCTCTGCTGCATCATTCTCACCTCGGCAGTTTCTTCTTTTTTTTTTTCTTTTTGCAAGTTCAAGACTTGATCTAGCATCACTCAATTGGAATTTGGTAGAACCTTGTGAAGCAAAGTCGGAGAGCACGGCGAGATCTACGCGTGGGTACCAGCAATTTCAACTTTAGTACTCTCTAGGGAGTTCGAAATTCTAGGGTTCTTGGGATCAAATTGGGAGTTTTCATCAATTTGAGGTAGGGGTGCTCTAATCCACTAATTCTTGGATTTCTTGTGATTTTCCCCTTTAAATTGACTTTAAGCATGATTAATTTTAATTTTTTGTGATTATATTTGTTAGGGTTATTTATGTTGATGGTGATAAATGTGCGTTGTGTGTTAAATGGCTTATTAGTATGATAATTTTTAACTTGTAAAGAAGTATGCTTAGTGTTGGTTTGTTTTCATGATCTCAATTGCTATAAAAAAAAAAAAAATTATGGTACAATTATGGAAATAAATTTGTGAATTGTATATTTAAATTGTTATCAAAATGTGGGATGAGAAAATGAATTGTGTACTTTTAGTAATTTATTAATTTATTTGAACAAGTATGTGGGAGCATTATAGTGGAATTGATGAAATGAAGCATGGAGCATTCATGCATCCATTGGGGAAGAAATAAGGGGAAAAATGTTTTAAAATAAATGAATTGTTCTTGGAAAAAAATATTTTTTAAAGGAGTTTGCGAAAAACCGGACACCTAGGAGGCGCCTAGTGGTCCGTGTTGTTAGTGTAGTCTAGAATGGAGTATGGTTGAGCTAACTAGGCCGGATGCGACGCCTTGGAGGTGCCTTGTGGTCGTGGATAGTTAGCCAACCCTCCATTCGTGACGCCTTGGAGGTGTCTTGGGTCGGATTACACTAACGGTTTGTTTGTTGAAACGGAATTGTTTCGGAAATGGGGAGCGACATATGCATAACATTGCACTTCATGGCATTTTAGTAAAACGGTGATTGGTTGTGGTTGAGAATATGTATTCCTCATGGTATGACTCCATTTCTTTTTACCCTTTTCTTATGTGAATTTACGGGGTCATAAGAAGTGTGTCTTAGACACTTCCTACTGAGCTTATGCTCACCCCATTATTTTTAACATCTTTCAGGACATGGAAAAGAGGTGGCGGACGACGATCCACCACGATTTTAGACGAGCACGGAGACCTATTTTATTTTTGCTATCTTTTGTATTAAAACTCTCTAATATTTTATAAATGTAATATTAACTAACTCGTAAAACTTTAGTTTAATTAGTATAATGTTTTAAACTATGGACTTTTAATTCTAGCTACATTTTATGGACTGTAATTTGATGTAACTTAAGTGGGTTTCACGTTCGGATGAGATGGAGGAACGGGATTTTTGTATGTATGTAGTCATTTTAAAAATGTGATATAATATCTGTATTGTGCGTTGGGATATGATATGTTATTTTTGAGGCCCAGTGAGGCTATTGCATCAATTTATGTATTTCAACATGTTGTAGAGGGACTATTTCTGCGGAGGTCATGCCGAAATTTTTATAGATTTTATTATTATTATTTTGGTATCTTTTCGGGTCGTTACAAGTATCTATCCAGTTATCGGCAAAATATTTGACCTTTGGATTGCTTCCATGCTCTGAAGCTTTAAACTGTGTTGATTTCAGGCATTATTTGAATTTATTGCTGAGGCACTCGCAAAATTTGTTGCTACAGAAGGTGAAGATTTTCATGTTTTGCCTGGCAGACAAAGGGAGCTGGGTTTCACATTTTCATTCCCAGTTAGGCAATCATCAATTGCATCAGGGTCTCTTATTAAATGGACAAAGGGTTTCTCTGTAGAAGATGCAGTTAATTTCAAT